TGCCTTTCAACATCTGGAAAGAACGTTTTTCTGCGATTACTACTTTTCATTTACAGTAGCTTGCTTCGCTAGCAAGTCAGCAGGTTCATTGCCGGGAAATTCAGCGAGTGCTTTAACCCAACGAAATTTCATAGTGCTTGACGCTGTTAGTAGTAATACTTTTGGGAAAATCATTTGTTTAATTAGCGGCATATTTTCACACCCATTGCAATTCTTCAATCAGGGCAGGCGTTGTTCAGCCTGGTTGTTAGAAGAACAACGTTTTAAACGTTATTATTAGTTATCAGCTATAATGTCAACTTTTTTATAGGTTATGACAGCACAGCCGACTTGTTTATGACGTTTGCTTCTGAGAGTATAAAGAGTGTTCCTTTTGTTGTATTGTGGTTACCATTTTAAACTTGAAGTATTTTTTATATATTACATATAATTGATAGATCCCTTGTTTTATCACATTCTTAAAAGATAATTGGTTGGAAGAAAATCGTACTAAATAATCGCTTGACTTTTTTTTACCTCGGTGTTACCAAAACCGTTTCGGCTTCAAACATGGCTAGAGAAATGAAGGCAAAGACTTGGGCTATTTGACGTTTTAGCTCTTCCTGGTTTATGAGGTCCCGAGGGTATACATGTCGGTCGTAAAATAAAGCGCAACTGCGTTTTCTACTCTAGCCAATTTCAAGTTGATACCAACACCGTTACACAGATTAAAACGTTAACTTTTTTCCCAAATAAAGTACAGATTTTTCCGGCATCTGGTAAGAAAAAAATAAATCACAACTGAAGTAAAGAAATTTGTGGACAAAAATCAAATCGTAAACTTCTACCTTTTTCTTGAAGACACCGTCAAAGAAAAATTCGTTCTGCAACTCTTGATTAGTCATATTTAAAAAAAAATTACAACAATTTCAAAATTATATTATTTTATACACACTCAAAAACAAAAACCGACACTTTTATAATTCATAATAAGTAGTTATAATTATTAGTAGATAATTTAAAACAGTGGTGCCCAAAGTGGTCCCTCCGGACCCCCAGGGGCCCTCGGTATCATTCAGGGGGTCCGTGGAAAATTAAAATTGATTTGGGGGTCTCTGAACGTCAGGGGGTCCGCGCAAGGTTTAATATAAAATGATATAATATAAATAATAATATAAAATAATATAATATAAAACAGAAGTAAGTTGGTTATCTAAAAGTGCATGTTTAAATCGATTTTATGCGCTCTTTGATTCAGTGTTGGAATTCCTGGAAAGCAAAGACAATGATTTGCGACACAATTTAATTAATTCACAAAATGACATAGCCTATATGACTGATTTATTTGACAAATTTAACTACAAGGTGACCAATTAAATTTAACCAAAACTAAAAGTGTCATATCTGCTGTTGCAAAACTTTTTCTGTACAAACAAAACTTCGGAAGAGGAGAATGTTCTCAGTTTCCAAATATTTCGAAATTGTAAATTAGAGATGAAGATTTGTTTGCTTACTATCAACACTTAACGGCTCTTCATACCTGAACCAAAGATTTGAAGACATTCTTCACTTGGATATTACCGACTGGGTGTTAAACCCTCTTGCGTCTGGACAAACTCAGATCGCAAACACAGATGAATCCATACTAATACAGGAGCAGTACTGAAATATCCCAAAATGATGAACTTAAACAAATGTTTGAACAAGGATACCACAAATTCTGTTTACAAAAACATACCCCAATGTTATATTCTGCATTTTGGGTTATTGTACAGAAGTCGTTGACTGTTTTCCCATCTTCATATTTGGTAGAACGTGGATTCAGTGCCGTTATGAACCTCATCACAAAAAAAGAAACCAACTAGAAATTAGTGATCGTGGAGATTTGCGGTTGCTACTCACAAACATTGAGCCGGACATATATACACTCATAACATCTCATCACGCTCATCCTAGTCATTAATTTTTTAATATTTTATTTTAAACAAAAGTAATTAATATTGTAATTTTTATATATTTACAATTTATAATTTCAATAAATACTAATTCAACAAATTTCTTTTTTTTTTAATTTGTAAATTTTATACTATGTATGTCGCTTTTTTACTTAGGGGTCCGTGGGCAATTTTTGACTATAAAAAAGGGTCCATGGGTCAAAAAAGTTTGGGAACCACTGATTTAAAACATACATTAATAAATTGTTTACCTTAATATAGGGTATCTAATTCTTTTACAGTATAAATTAATAATAAAAGAAAACGATGTTTTCTTATATTTTGACCTCAACAGTTAATCTTATGATTCATCCTTCTTGAAGGTGGGATAATAGGTCATCTCAAAAAACCACAACCAGTTTTTATCCACAACGTTTCGGATTTATTTGAATCCTTCCTCAGGTGAGTTAACGCAATGGTTAAAAAAGTGGTCGTCAGTCATTAATATTTTATAACAATTTATTTTAAAAAAGAGCCAGTGTGGTACTTATTCAGACTAGAAACAAACGTTTTTGACGTTTGTAGAAATAAAACGTTTGTTTCTAGTCTGAATAAGTACCACACTGGCTCTTTTTTAAAATAAATTGTTATAAAATATTAATGGCTGACGACCACTTTTTTAACCATTGCGTTAACTCACCTGAGGAAGGATTCAAATAAATACGAAACGTTGTGGATAAAAACAGGTTGTGGTTTTTTGAGATGACCTATTATCCCACCTTCAAGAAGGATGAATCATAAGAATAAAAGAAAATCAATTCAATTTTGTCCTATCTAGAGCCAACTTGTCGAGTGAGTTAATTGGGTCTTTAAATTATTTTCTTTGGTGAAACAATAAATTTGAATAAAAAATATTTATTAATATTTTCTTAAAGGCATGGCTTTAAGTCGAGATCTCGCCAGAGGAGATGCTTTCGCCAACCACGGACGTAGCGTCCGTAGCCTTGGGTGTGCCGCGCTCTACCAACCACGATGGTCTACAGCGGTTTAGGGCCATTGGAAATCTCGATCGAAGAAAAGGTAGTGGTCCACCGCGATGTACGTCTGTCAGAGATGACCGTAATACGGAACCGTTATTTAACGGCTTCCTTGATAGGTAGTCAACTCCAAACGATTTGAAATACAAGGATGAGCTCTAAAACATACATCAGAAGCTCTATTGCTAATAGTATGTAGTCCTCCCGTATCAGGACTACATTCTTTACTGCTGGAAAGGCATCGAGTGGAAAGGGAAACTAATCGCAAATCGGTTGGATTTTTGAACGATGGAGGCTGTTTTCATAGATGAATGCCAGTTTGGTCTGTGGCGATCAGACGACTGGGTCCGTGTGTGGAGAAGACCTGGATGCTTCGCTTGTGAATACAGCCTTTTCAATGAGAGTCAATTAAGGTATGTGGTGGATCAACGGCCATGCCCATACTGAATTGATTATCATACTGAACCCATTTTTTTAGTGCACTAAGGTACATTGAGGAAGTTCTTGCACATTCTTCTGGCTTTAATCTCATACAACCCTCATGGTACATGACAAAGAGAGGGGTTAGGCATCGTTCACCGCTTCCTACATGCGATGAACAGCTTCAAATCCCTCTTGCCGAAGAGGAAATCCGATCGCTTATTTACTAGATGCCTAGGAGTTGTAGCAATAAAATACAATAAAATAACAATAACAATAAAAATTCGTATAGTTGGAAATAAACTACAATATACGAATGTCGGGTTTTTGTCTTTGAGTGATGTTTAAAAGAACCATGTCATTACAATTCAAAGGAGGAAATAAGTACTATTTCAAAATCAAACAATAACTTTTTAAACATTGTTGTTAAAAATGAAGTAAACGCTTTATTATACATGTTTGAGAACAATTTTCATTTTTAGCTAAACAGGAAACGAAATTCATGAAGGGTCTGTACTATTACACTGGCCAGACCTGTCTGGCTGAAACGGGGTTAAATTAATTTCTAATTCCCATAAAAATTGACCTTCTTTGAACTTTATTTAAGTATTGTCAACACCAGATTGTTCATATATCAGTCGAAGTTGTCACGCTGAAGCGTTTAATTGAGTAATCTAAGGTACAGAGATGTCAGATTGACTGTAATACATCGTACATATGCAAATTTAATTATGCCGTCAGATTTGAATAGACCCGTGAATATCAAATTGAGCAATACTATACCCTGCTATAATACGACATTTGCAGAATTACAATTAATTTTGGCCTAGTTAACGCGTTCATAAAAAATCTTTAAAGTTTAGTTTACGAAATCTGTTATTGCTTATCACTGTAATGTAAAGGTCCAGGGTTCGAATCCAGCGGCACCTCGACGGTTCAAATAACCTCGTAGTCGAAATACCCTTGTAAAAAAAAAAATCATCGAAAACTTATCTTGATTAACCAATAGTTGTAAAATTTATTAAACTGATTGGCATTTGATCTGCACTGAATCCGTCTACTCTTGTTGGTTTTCTTCACACTCGTTTCGATTTCACGTCCGTCGGTAAAGATTTGTCATTCCTTGCGCTCATTTGTAAAACTTTGACTGAATCTTAAACCTCTCTGAGTAGAAATAGAATCTGCTAGTGTGATCCGGTAATACCAGTTCACGGGCTCTCGTTCATCTACCACCATGAATTTTAAAACAGCCCTTTAACAGGAATTGAGATAATGCTTTAAGTCGTCATGTTTGTGACACATCATAAACTAACTAAAACCGCAACGGTTTAGGCGTTGACACGGCGCTCATCACTGTAATGTAAAGGTCCCGGGTTCGAATCCAGCGGCCCTGCTTTCGAACCCGACATACCAATGGCCTTTTTTCAAAAACACCGGCACCCCGAGGATTGATATTACCTTTGCTGTTGCGAACCCTCTTAAAAAAAATTAATAACAATAAAAGACTATCCAACTGCTGTCCTTTCTCAATTTTAAAAAAACGCGTCTTACTCTTGTAATGACTTGTTTCGATGCTTTGTCTACTTTTTCGTTTTAATAACAGTGAATTCCGTACTATGTTGATATTTACCTGATGATTGGCGAGAGGCTCATGCCGGTGCAACGGCGAATTAGAGTTGAGGAGGTCACCTTGAGCAGCCATCATGGAGATCCACATGGGGCACGCCACACCCTCCACCTCTCCCCAACATCCCTAGAACAGAATGAACACGGATTAACGCATTGTATAAGCCGAAGATAGATATTAGACAATAAAGAGACAAAAAAAGAGCAATTAAGGTAAAAGAAAAATTGGATGAACGCCAGCAGAATTATGCCGAGTTTCTCCACAAATGTGTCTTGGTAAATAAATTTCTATTAGAATATACAGGTTATCCAATAACGTCTTCAATGATGGTCTGATACTAATACATATCTATACATTTCGAACTGAAACGTTCAGCAACATTGACAAACGGAACTTTAAGACTCTTCTAACTTCTTCTTTTCAACTGGTTAATTTTATAACTCGATCGCCCTCTACATTTTCTCACTGTGTATCTCTTCTTCTTCTTCGCTCTCTCTCTCTCTCTCTCTCTCTCTCTCGGCGTTTTATTGTTTTCTATACATTTTTTTATAATTTATTTATCATATTGTTAATTACACAGCTGCCCTAATATTGCTGCGCCTCATGCGTCTATTTATCTTTTCCCATATTCAGCCATTGAAAAGTGGTAGCATATAGATGTATGTAACTTACCTAATTGTTTGTCTAATTAACAGACAGAAAGAAACTTTTTTATATAATTTACTAACGTTTACATATCTTAGCAGTGTTTTTATGAAAATAGAGCGTAATGAAAAATAAGAGTATGAAAGCATGTTCTCGACCCAATCAGCCTGTCCTCGCACATTTTATTGCCTGATCCCGTGATATGTGTTGCGACTTTACTTTAGAGTATTCCAGCTTTAAACTTTAATAAAACTGTGGTGAAATTGTATTTTGTTTTTCTAAATAACCATTGTGTAACACTAGCCATCACGACTCATACGTCGTACGTGAACTGTATTTTCAAGCGTCGTGTTGTGCAACTGAATCTCCGGGCACCGAATTTACATTTTCCAAACTCCATTTCACTAAAATTCTAATAGATTTAAAACTTAGTGAAAATATGATTTTTCTTTTTTCTAGATTTGTTAAGGGATCCCTGAAGTGACTTGTCTAAGGGATCGGAATTTTCTACCTTTCAGCCGACAAACGTAACATTTTATTAGTGCTGTCAGCCAGAAGAAGTATCCCAGGAACCATTCCAAATGTCAACTTGATATTAGACACCGTTGTATTCTTAAGAAACACTTTTCTGTGAACTCGGATGTAGACAAATTTGCTGAGGAATAAATGTTTAACATTCAAGCCGCTTAGATTGATTGAAATCATGATAAACTCGAATGAACGAAAATTCAACGGAGCTCATAAAAAATGTATGCCAATGAAAAAAGGTGTTACATAAAAATAAATGAAAAGCGAATCATTATCATCAACAAACGCTTACTCATTTTAATTATTAATATAATGTCTAAATAATTCTTTGGCTATTTTTTCTCGATAGTTCATGTTCAGTTTTAAAAGAAGATCGTTGAGAAAACGTGTGGGCATCCGCTGCAAATGCTGAATGAGTATAATTAACGATCGGGTAATCGACTTTTATGGCCAGGCCTTTTTTTTTTGTTTTTTTTGTTACTGGGGCTTCCGACATCTGGGTCATTTCAGCCCCAAGCTAAGTCAAGTCAATATTGTATTTACACTTCTATTTACAAACACTACATTCATACAGATAAATACATTCATACACATAAATACATCCATACAATACACTCATTCCGTTTGGTCGGTGGAGTACTTGATATTCCTCCACCGACCTATACTCGAACTAAACTAGATTGGGGTCGATGGAGTACTTTTATAAATATTCCGCCATCGACCCCGAACACATACTCATACGCTCTCATCGTTCGAGGGGCGATGATGATGTTATATTTCACTCTCACCCCTCGCCATTCACGCTAATAAATACATGCACTCAGACAAACATATAGACGCACAACACATGAGACATACTATATACAATAAAAAACCCCAATTTCCCGTAAAAATCGGAACAGGGGACCCTGAAACCCGCTGCAGTGCTCGAGTACCTTCTTCAGATTGGATGGCATGCCTACGCGCTCCCTGTAGGGAGCCAAGGCATGGCATGTTTCCAGTATGTGGGACACATCGAGCAACCTTTCTCTGCATAAGGGACTCCTGCGCGGGCTTTGGCCCAAGAGCAGGTGGCCGTGTGTCAACAGTGTATGGCCTATTCTTAATCGCGTTAGGACGATTCCTTGTTTCCGGCTCAGGTTCTCGGGGGGCCATCTACGAGCTCTTGACGCCAGGCCTTATTTAATTTGCTTTTTACTCATTTCATTTAAAGACGTATGTTGTTGGTGTCATTTTCTTTTCATTTTTAAAATTTTATTTTTAATATTTTAATTTGCAGAAAACTTGAATATATTTATATTCTATGATCGTAATTTATAATAACTTTAAGTTAGTCTTAAATTGTGTATTGAACATCTATCCGCTCGTCTTTTCAGCACCTTCCTACAATTTTTCTGCTCTTCTTTTAAGCTTCTAGCTCCATCTTTCTCTAAAAGCATTGTACAGAAGCCTGCGTCATCTTGAACACTAACAGTACATAAAACTTAGTCAGATGGTTCTTTATTTTTATATAAATATCTTTTTATCATATTATTAATATCACCTTTTGGCTTGACAGTATTAATTTTATTAACACAAAAATTTTATTGCATGCAATCCTAGATGTAAATGCTTTCATGTGGATTTGTTTTTTTATATTTTAATTAATTTTTTATTAATATCATACATATTGTTACACATTTAATCCTGCTCCATTATTAGCAAATTCATGTATGGTTTACAGTAATTTCAGTAGTTTTTATATTTAGAGACTTTATACCGACTTCTATCAATTTGAGAAGGTATTCAAGGAAAACCGACAAATGTACTAGAATTTGGGATATCCAAAATTTTGTGGATTCCTGATTTGTAAATATGTATTCCAAAGCTGAAATGACATGTTTTCTTATATAATTATGTAAATCGATCATTTTAAAATAAACGAGTACTTAGCAGTTGGACGTACAATTTGACTTTTGAAGTTAGATTGGCAAGTAATTAAATAAATAAATAACAATCTTGGCGTTAGGAATGCTACTTGAGTTAGAAAATTTTAAAATTTGAAAACGAGGATATGCAAAAATCCAACACCAAAGCTGAGCAGAAAATCGAAAAAAACTCAAGTACGGGGTTTATCTAAAGTTACAATCGACAACTCACGCAAATAAATACATTTAAATTGAGAGATTCTGTGTAGTCTGCAGGGTGGTGACTCTTGTGATTGACTATGTTATCCGCCTATACTTCTTGTGTCCTTTGTCGGGCTGTTCGACGCGTTTTATCATTTCGCCATCTTCAGTGGTTGGTCTGTGTAGCTTCTAATAAGACAAATTTGTTTTATAAGACCGTGAGTGGTGGGCCCTATTGCACTATTAATGAACTATGTCCAGATCGTCTTGTCGGACGATATTATATGGGGAAATTAGTACAAATTTTTAAAGTTAAGTTATCAATTGAAATGACAAATAAATAAATTTTTATTCGTCGTTAATAAATAAATTTTTAAATCGTTTTAGGGAAAAATAATGTTCGGAATTTTATTTTTATTGTTTGATGTTGAGTTTGATACAAATTCAAAACCGTTTGCACCTATGATATCAGAGTGGACTTTCAAAAATGTACATTGATTATAGTTGCCATTAAATAACTAAGCTTATTGCTGAATACCCTATCGTGAAAAGTTAGAGCTAGACTTTTTGGCTTATGGGAAACTACAGAAAAACTAATATTCCACGTACTCTATCCCAAAACCTCCTAATAAAAAAAAATATAGGAGGGGACAGAAGTTACAGTTTCCCTTTGCATACAGTTGCATGTAAATTAATTTGAAGCGTATTATTAAGCATATTATTAATCGATATTGTATATTTATCTTATTTACAAGATCTGATTTACTTTCATTAAATATTTTATAGAATGGGTTCGCAAAAAATATTTTTGCCCCAGATGATCTGTTCTTGTTGGCAAATATGTCACGAAAGAAAGGATGCCGCAGTGGACGGTACGTGCCAAATGAAGAATGGGCGAAGGATTTTTCACAGTTACTCAATATGGAAGGGGGATCTCAAAAATGACAAATGGCCCTTCGAATAATAAGGTTACGAGTATTTTGAGTTATGAGGAATTCGAGTTTTTGATTTCTAAAGGGCCGATTCTCGAAACACAAGAAAAAGAAACTAACCTTTTAAATAAATTGTTTAGACTTCCTTCTTAGTGTTTTCTTGAAGAAAAAATTTTAATTTAAAGTTAGATACATCGTTCACTTGGCTCACGAATATATTAAATGTCAATATATTCTGATGAAAAAATTAATTTAGTCATTATCAGCCAGCTTTCGAAGTATTTAAGATCTTCATCAGGGCAAAACAACCTTGTAGCCATCTTTAATATTGTTTTGCCCTGATGAAGACGTTAAATTAGGTCCAAAACTTGGCTGATAACATTTGATTTTATTCTTTAATGCAGACTATACCGAGATAAAGATTATTCTTGAAAAATTACTAAAATGTACCGTCGAAAATTTCAAATATTTTTCATGTAGCATATATATGTTGTAATTATACATTTCAAAAGGATTGCAGGAAAAATATATTTATATGCTAGGATAATAAATTTGAATGTTAAACCTAACGCATCTAGACGAGTTTTATGATTAAAATTTGAAGTAGTTATGGAAAGTTTAGATATAAATACGTCGGTTGGTTTTGGAGCAGATTTATGTCTCAAGTTCTTAACGGTTCAATCCTTAGGGCCAAAATAAAAGTAAAACCGTTGAATGGATTCAGATTTTGATTGTATGTACTTTGTATACATTAAATACAAAATAAACTGGTTTTCACGGAATAAATCTCAGAGATAAATTAGGGTTGAAGAGCTAAAGTGATTTATAAGGAAGATAAACTGTTAGAAAACTTGCGTAATTTCTTTGCACAGATTCTTCTTAGAAGTACTTTATACAATAACACCTAGATATT